ACTTTTTCGCCCTCTGCCTATTACTTCCTTTTCATTATCTACCTTGAGAGTTACTCATTTTTTAAAGCATAATTCTAAAGTTGCCTCCTCTGTGAAGATCTTCCTGCTTCTGGCCTTCAGACAAGTGTCCCATTTCTAGCCCTTCAAACACAGAAGCTTCTAGACTTCAGTGCAAATCTCTACTGTAGCATTTATTATTAGGGTGAATTTCCTACCTATTTTATAACTACTGGTACTCTCTAGTTCAAGGCCTTGACTAATTTTGAAGTATAAAAAACAAATACATTCCATACCCTCATAATCTTGTAAAAATCATAATCTAGAGGTTATAATCTAGTAAAATGGACAAAACAAATAACTGGTGGAAGACAATGTAAAAAAGATCATAAGAAAGAAAGATACAAAGTGCTAGCACATGTAAAAAGGAATTATGAGCATGGGCCCTAGTAAAGTAAGGGGACTGAAACTGAACCCATCATGTGTACTGAAAGATTGGAAGGAGTGCTGTGTTTTCCAAAGAGTTAAGCATATGACTATATGTTTTTTATTTATTTAAATTTTTATTTAAATTCTAGTTAACATATAGTGTACTATTAATTTCAGGAGGAGAATTTAGTAATTCATTATTTACATATAACACCCAGTGCTCAATCACAAGTGCCCACCTTAATACCCACCTCCCCACCAGCAACTCTCAGTTTGTGGTCTATAGTAAAGAGTCTCTTTAATAGTTTGCCTCTCTTTTTTCTCCCCTATGTTCATCTGTTTTGTTTCTGAAATTGCACATATGAGTGAGAGAGTCCTATTTTTATTTTAAGAAGAGAGACTAAGAAAATACACCAGATGATAATAGACAAGAGGATTGACAACCTCTTCAAAGAAGTGAGTAGGAAAAAGTCATCTATGGGAAATCAAAACACACAGACTTGTGTCAGAACAAAGTAGAGTTGACCCTTTAATGAACATGAGAGCTAGTGGTGCCAACCCCCTACATAGTTGAACATCTATGTATAATTTTTGATTTCCCAACAGCTAATAGCCTACTATTGACTGGAATCTTTACCGATAAATAGTTGATTAACAGCTGGAGAAAAAAATCTTATTGAGAAAATCATAAGAAGAGAAAATACATTTACAGTACAGTACTGTAGTTAACCAAAAAAATCCACATCTAGTGGATCTGTGCAGTTCAAATCCATGCTGTTTAAGGGTCAACTGTACTATATACATAAACACTATCTATATGGTATATGAACTCCAAACTGAAAAATTAAAACTGTTCTAGGACCAGTGAGACTCCTCAGGGTTCTGAGAAAGACAAATACTAAATCTCTCTGGGATACTCCTATGACCCAGCATACACAAAAATCCCACAGAAAAAGTAGTCTCAGTGAAGGTGAATTTATGGTCAAAATATTATAAATCATACAAGGAAACAAGAAAGCATTATGTGACAGAGTTGGCTAAAAGAATTAGCACCCAAGAACTAAAAATGTGATAAAAAAGACTATAAAATCAGAATGCTTAAGGTGATTAATAGATTTTTTAGAAATGATGAAAACAGTACAGTATGAAAGAACAAGTTTGAAAATGAACATATAAAAGTGGTAGAGTGCTTGAAAGTAAAAACAGACGACAAAGAGAGGCTAATAAGAGTCATAGAGGTTAGAATAAAGAGACCCTACACATTCTGATAGATCCAGAAGAAATTGAAAAGAAGAGGTGAGAAGCAATAATCAAGGGAATAATGTCTGAGACTTCTCCAGATCCTAAAAAATCCATTCATCCTCGGGTTAACAAAACTCTCTGAATAATTTTTTAGAAATCCACACCTAAACACATTATAATTAAACTGCCAAATATCAAAGGAAAAAAAAGACAAACTTGTGATTTTCAAAGTAACACTATTTAGTCTCTTCAATAATAATGGATGCCAAAAAATAAGGGAAAGTAACTGTCAAGAATTCTACACACAGCTAAATTATTATTCAAAAATTAGAGTAAGAAAAGATTTTTCAGAGAAAAACAAAAACATAAGTTCAATCAGAGACCTTTATTTAAATAAATTACTGAAAGAAAACTGAACCCAGAAAGGACTGGGATGCAACAAGCAACAAAGTAAACAAGTCGGTAAACACTGGTAAACCTAAATAAGCACTGTCTATAAAAGACTTTATCATGGGAAAAGTGACTTAACTTGATGAATTGGGGAATAATTTGGCCTTGTTCTCACTTTTTTTGAGAGCCTACACACATTCTGGTCTCCTCCTCCTTGGATTTTTAGAGGGGCAGTCCTCAGTGTGTAACTAGGTGTTCTACTATAACTAGTTAGATAAATCTGCTTAATTCTGAGGTGCAATAATCACAAGCCTATAGATACATCCATTTCTGTAATATCAGATTTACTAGTAATCATGCTGATATTTTATCTCCATTGCCTGCTCTTCTATCTCAGTTGTTTGAAAATTAAGGTAGAGGTTCAGCTAAAATAGTATCTAGAAGGAAATTTGTGCCTGCAAATACATGTATTAGAAAACAAGAAAGACTGAAAATTAATGAGTGAAGTGTTAAACTTTGGGGATTAGAAAAAGAACAAAGTAAACATAAAAATATAGAAGGAAATAATAAACAGCAGATAAAATAGGCAACAAAGATGTTCTAACAAAGCACTAGTGATAGGAACCAAGGGAAAAAAAAAGATTAAAATAAACAATATTAAGAATGAGGAAATGGAGTGGTACCTAGGTGGCTTAGTTGGCTAAGGGCTTAACTTTGGCTCAGGTCATGATCTCACTGTGTCACAAGTTTGAGCCCTTCCTCAGGCTCTGTGCTGACAGCTCAAAGCCTGGAGGCTGCTTCAGATTCTATGTCTCCCTCTCTCTTTGCCCCTACCCCACTCTCTCTCCCTCTCTCTCAAAAATAAACATTAAAAAAATGAAAAAAAAATGGACATATAACTACAGAAGAGATTTTCAAAACTTATAAGTGAATAGTCAACTTAATGACAGCCAATGTGAAAACTTAGATGACATGGTAAATCAATATTAATTCAAGAAATAATAGAAAACATGGGTTATAACCACTTAAAAAATTTAACCAGTGGTCATAAACCTCATAAGCCACAGGTCAAGATGGTTTACAGGCATATTTTACCAAAACTTTGCAAAAGAATAGAGAGGAAACGTCTCAACTTCTATGAGGCTAGTATATACTGATATCAACAAGATGAGTAAAGAAAGGAAAATTTAATTACTTCTAAATAAAAATGCAAACACTCTAAAGAAAATAATCACAAGCCAAATCCAATATATCTAAAAATAATCAGACTATCATAACACAGTTGGTTTATCCCAGGAAACAAGGATATTAGAAAAATCTATTAATATTCACCACATTAACAGATTAAGGGAAAAGAAAAAGATCATACCAATAGATAAATAACATTTGTTAAGTTTTAATGTCCACTTATGAGAAAAACAGCAAACTAGGAAAAGAGAATAATTTTAACTTCTTACATCAAAAACATGGAAGTATTTAATGTCAGGCACAAGATAAAAATGCTCATCACTACTGCTCATATTCAACATCATATTAGAGACTTTAGGCAACATAATTAAGAAAAAACAGGTAAAAGGATTAAAAATGAAAAAAAAAATAGTTATATCCCTGGTCACATGATTCTATACACAGAAAATCCAAGGAAGTTTATAAATACTAGAATTATGAGAGTATAGCAAGGTTGCTGTGTATATGGATCAATGTAAATAAATCAATATGATTCTTATATTCTAGCAACAGCTAAGTATAATTTCCATTTTTTTTTTTTTGGCCTTTGTGGTGCCAGCTAGGCACTATTGTTATGCTTACATTATTTAATAATAAAAAAACAACAGGGGCGCCTGGGTGGCTTAGTCGGTTAAGCGTCCGACTTTCGCTTAGGTCATGATCTCGCGGTTCGTGGGTTCGGGCCCCGCGTCGGGCTCTGTGCTGACTGCCAGCTCAGAGCCCGGAGTCTGTTTCAGAGTCTGTGACTCCCTCTCTCTCTGACCCTCCCTGCTCACGCTGTCTCTCTCTCTCCTAGAAATAAATAAAAATAAAACATTTAAAAAAATAATAATAATAAAAAAACAACATACTAGGTATATTTGTCTTTATTGTAACAGATTTTGAACCTGGTGAGATAAGTCATTTAGCAAGATCCTACTGCTATAAGTTAGGTGAGCCTGGGACTACAACTCAAGTCTGTGTGACCTCAAAGCCTGTCATGCTTTTAGCCACTAGGATTTCCTCCTAGTAATAGTAAAGAATGTGATGATAATCCCTCGCTCCTGACCTCTACTTTTCTTTCTTACTCTAATATTTTAAGCGTTAAGAGAAAAATCATTCTCACACCCTCAGGTTTTACAGACAGAAAGTACAGATATATGAACGGTCCTAGGGGAGTTTCAGAATACATCTGGAATAAATCTAGACGGTGGCAGGGTCAAGAGGATGATAGCAGAAGAGGCAACAGAGGAGGAAAGATGGAAGCCATGAGATGCCCAGGACAGCTGGGGGCCCAGGGCTCTTCTGGGGGCGGCAGTACCCAATCCCTACTCTGCTCACGCACTGCCTGCTGGGAGGCCGCTCTACCCAGTCTAGCTGCGTTGAAAGAACGGAGGACAGCGTCAACCGAGAGCTACACATTTTCCTGTGTGCTTCTGAAACGGTAGAGAGATGTGATTCCTTAATATAGAAAGACTGGATTCAAAGCAATACCATACGTTCCAGTTTCCTTAGTATTACCGTTGAAAATGAATTTCGTGTTCCTCATAGCAACAGCAGCAGGAGCTATATTCACACTTGTTGCTGCTGCGGCTGCAGCATTGATAATAGTAAAAAGTGTAAGTTCTTTGAAGAAGAGAACAAATAGGAACAAAAAGAGTTTTAAAAAATCTGGTAAAAAAGCCTATTTCAAGAAGGAAACAAATAGGAAACAAGAAACATACAAAAAATTGGGTGAAAAGGAACAGGAAACCCACGAAGAACTGAATCAGGAAGAACAGGAAACCCACGAAGAACTGAATCAGGAGGAACAGGAAACCCTCAAAGAACTGAACAAGGAGGAACAGGACAGCCACACTCCGTAAGTGTAAACTATAACTAGGTTAACTTTCAGATAGACAACAAATGCAGATCAAACGAAGGCAAACACTGGACGACAGAAGGTTCCTTTTTGCGGACCAAAGGGCAGAGTATGGAGGCAGTGCACAGGCTTGCCTGGTGTCATAGTGACACACAGACATAAGGTCATTTTCCTGTAAAACTGGTTTTCTGAGGTGAGAGTTAGTGGAAGAGACTGCATCTATGTGATGGTGGAAAGAAGTTACACGAAGGGAAAGTCCGTTTCTTGGCCTAAGTTTGTGTTTTGGCATTTCAGGCCCTGGTAAGCAAAACTAAAACCCTCAAATTTGTTCAGCTGCTTTCACACAAGAAATTGTAGCTAGTGAAATGAAAAGGACTCCTTTCTCCCCCGCCCCGGGAACGGCAGCGCCCCTGGAGGCAGGCGAGAAGAGGCGGCCGCCGTGCGGCACAATGGGCGCCACCTCACAGAGGCGGGCGCGGCGGGCGGCAGGACCTCGCGGCCAGACTGCGGGAGCTCCGGCTGGAGACACATGGGCCCCTCGGGGCGGCGAGGCCGACGGGTGGGTGCTCTGGCTGCAGTTGGTCCTTCGGTGGGAAAGAGTGAGGAGGCGGCGCCAAGCCAGCGCCTGCCGGCCTGCGCTACAGACTTCGGGCAAGCCTAGGCAGTAACCAGGTGCTGTAAGAGGCGTGCCCCCAGTTACCAAAACAACCCAGAAGGAGTGCTTCAAACACACGGGCAAAGCGCGGGGCCGGGGCTGCCTCTTACCTAGCCCAGCCGCAGTGCTCCCGGCTGCCGCGCGATGGCGAGCAATCTGCCTTCGCTTCCCCTCCTCTCCTCCCTGAGCCTCCCCGCTCCGCCTTCTCCCTCCCACTCCCGGCTGCCTAAGCCGCCTCCATTTTCCAGATCTTTCTCGAACCCGCAGCTCCTTGGGCAGCCGTTGCCCGAGTACTGACGGAAGGGGCCGAAGTCTAGGCGGGGGACAGCCTCGGGCGCGGAGCGGCGACTCGCGCACCTCCCCGGCGGCCGAGCGCGCAGGCGCAGACGTCTGTAACTGCCGGTTGGAGGCGGCCGAACCGCAGTGGAGAGAGATCCAGGCGACGGAGGCAGCGGCCAGGGAGGCCTCCATCTCCGCCGCTGCTCTCCGACGCGCTGCCCTAGATTTAATGCGTAGTGACTTCGGGTCATCTTTCCTGTACTTCTCTTAGGAGTCCCAATTCCTGGAGCAAGAGCTCGGAAGAGGACGCGGTTCCTGCACAGAAGGCTTCAGCACCAGCACCCCGACGATTAGGCGGCGGGATGTCTGTGGTTGGCATTGACCTCGGCTTTCTCAACTGCTACATCGCTGTAGCAAGGAGTGGCGGCATCGAGACCATCGCCAATGAGTACAGCGACAGGTGTACCCCGTAAGTGTCTTGGCTTGTTCATAACCCCAACCCTATCAAACGTTTTCTCTAGACCATACGATGTGGTCCTGCCTGCTGGTTTCTTCTGATGCAAGCCGAACCTTGTGGTGACAGGTGCAGCCCATCAGCTGCAGTCTCTAGAGACCGCAGGTTGGCGGGCCCAGGTGGGAGCCGGACGGCAAAGCTGCTTTTCCTTAAAGGACAAGGATCTTAACTCCCATAGTTGGCGCATTCTGTAACCACACACGCCCCCCCCTCCCCCATCACTCCCTCCCTGCCTCTGTTCTCCAGGTCTGCTTAGTTTTGGCGGGGGGGGGGGGGGGGGGGGGAGGGCGTGCGGAACCATCTCGATATCCTGAACGAATTTCTGAAAAGACGTCTGGTTACCTCTCGTGGGGCTTGCCGGAGATTATCGGCCGCGGGCGGTCATCTCCTATTAGCTCAGTAAAGAATTCTTCGTTCATTCTGCCCTTCCTCCTTTCCCCTTGTCTTTTTGCTTCAGAAAAGTAAGAAATAAAAACTTAGACTGCACACAGCAGAAAGATGAGTTGTAGGTTCATCTGGTTATGGGGCGGGGGAGTTGTTAAAGTGTGCAGCATTTTACCCCAATGTCCTTGAAAATTCGGGGTAATGGAGCCGATTTCCTGTGGCGTATGTTAATGATGCATTAGTAGGGAGGGAATCAGGAATGGGAGTTGTTGACCTCCTGTGTTGGTAATGTTCCTCTGCTAATGGAAAGTGGTGCGGCTAGAACCTATTAGAAGCATATTTCTACAGAATGAATTGTAGAGGAATCAGAGGCGGCCGTCCTGTATAAACATGATGTGGAGTGATTCTTTTATGAACACTTGATGAAAGACTTAGGAGTGGCATTATGTCAGGAAACATGTTTCCACACGTTCCATTGTTTGGTGTGCGAAGTTTGTTGGTAAAGGATAATTAGACAAAGAATAATTAAGACAGGGATATGAAAAAGTAGCCTTTTATTGTTGGCTTCTGTTACCCGTAGTTTTATGAACAACTATTCATGTCTCACTTTCTGTGGAAAAGTAATCATTAATACGATGCTCCAAAATGGCCCCAAATGTAATATTTATATAAATATAAGATAGATCTTAAGATCAGTGTTAAACTAAGCCTTTAAATGATAAAATTACTGTAGTTTTATGAATAATTTAAAAATATGTCCAAGAGATGTTGAAGAGTAGCTTACTTGAAGCAGTCTGTGCTTTGGTTTCTTTCAAAGACTATTCCAAAGGGTTTTATACCAACTTATTCTAGATATATACATTTTATTCTGTACATGTATATACATGTAAATTTTGCATGTTTAAATTCTCAAATGAGCATAGGACAGCTAATCTTCATAGTACTGCTACAACACTTGCTTCATTTTACATCTTTTTCAAACCTTTATGCACAATGAGAGACTGAGGTAGTAATTGTGAATTCCTTTATGACTTTATGTCTGTAAGATCTTGTTTAGCACCACAACAGATAGAAGCTGCCAGAAAAGAAGCAGTAAATTCCACTGTCCTCTTTCATCGGAGTAGAGGTTTTTTCTTTCTTAAATAGCTTATTGTCAAGTTGGTTTCCATATGACACCCAGTGCTCATCCCAACAAGTGCCCTCCTCCTTGCCCATCACCCCCCTTCCCCTCTCCCCATCCGCCCTCAGTTTGCTCACAGCATTCAAGAGTCTCTCATGGTTTGCTTCCTTCCCTCTCCCCAACTATTTTTCCCCTTCTTCTCCCCCGTGGTCCTTCATTAAGTGAGTTCCTCCTAATCCACCTATACGTGCAAACATATGGTATCTGTCCTCTGCTTGACTGACTTCGCTCAACATAACACCCTCAAGTTCCGTCCATGTTGTCAGTCAAGTAGAGGTTTAATGGGGGCAGTCTCTGGCTTCAGGGACTTAGCCCATGGAGAAAAAGTGAGCAGTAAGATGGACATTCCCCTAATCCTTAAAGCTTTATCCTAAAAGATCAGAAACTAGAACTGTAAGGCATACTGTATTTCCTGGCTCAGAAGTCTTAGTAGTGAGTCCATGACTCTCTAAAGAACCTGGCCAGACCTAACAGTGTTCTTTAAAAATTAGGCTGCTCATTTTTATGTTCTAGAAGTCTCTTTACTACTATTCTTAGGCACATTGGCTAATTCTGTGTGGCTGAGATTTAATATGATATTTCTGATCTGTGTGTAAGAGCCACTACTAATATCTAGATTAATGAACCAAATCCAAATGAGAAAATTGCTCAGGTGGAAGTTTTGTATTTTTAATTTAGCTTGCATCAGCAATGCTGTCCTTCTTTTTCATGGCTGTATACTGTTATTTACTTCAGGATCTTTTATTGTTACCGAACTAAAACATCACTGTAGCCTGTTCTTAGACTATACTTATTTTGTGGAGCTTAAATTATTGAGTGAAAATAGCTTTTCTAGATCCCTGGACCTTTATTTATTGAATACTTATCTTGCAAAGAGCATAGCTATTAGAGAAACTGTGACTTTTCTAAAACGCTAGAGTATTTAATAATATATATAAAGGAGCTCTTCAAAAGCTTTCTTTCTATATTCCAGTTGCTGACAACAAGGTAGTGAGACATAGGTATTTCCAGAAAGAGGAAAGAATTTCTTGCAGAAAGAGGAAGGAAATGTTCCATTTAAGTTAGTTGGTTTTGGCATTTATACTTTTTTACATTTGTTTCATTCTTTAACAGACTTTGATTATGTATACATGGGAAGGTCCCATATGATAAACCAAGGACAGTTTAATGGAAAAGGTAATTAAATTTGGCAATTTAATTACAATTTACTCCCTACAATTTAATTGTAGGCAATTTAATCCCTACAATTAAGGGACTGAGAACAAGTAATTTAACCCATTCTTCAGATTCCACTTATATAAAGTTGGAGTGCTTGTACTAGCTGCTCTTCTCTCCTGCATAAACTGAAGAGGGAGAAGGAAATTAACATGCATAAGTTGAAGAGAAAAAATTAATTTCAGGACATTTTCTTATTTAAAACAAGTACACAAATAGCACATGTTCATTGTAGAAATACAGGCACATTATTGAGCGTGTGGGTGGCCCAGTTGGTTAAGCTTCGGACTTCTACTCAGGTTATGATCTCAATGTCCGTGGGTGGGTTTGAGCCCGCATCTGGCTCCATGCTGACAGCTCAAAGCCTGAAGCTTGCTTCGTATTCTGTGTCTCCTCCTCTCTCTGCCCCTGCCCTGCTCATCCGTGAGCGCGCTCTCTCAAAAATAAACGTTTTTAAAAAGTTAAAAAAAAAAAATATAGGCATATTAAAAGATGAAGGTAAAAATTATAATTCATCCAGAATAAAACTTCCAGATTATTTTTTCAGTGTTTCAAGGGTAGCTTATAGTCTGTTGGGCAACCTCTTTCTATGTAAAATATATTTTTATTTTATACCATTAGTTTCAGTGTTTGGATAATCATTTCTTTAATCCATCCCTTTTTGGACATTCAGGTTTTTAATATTTTTTAAATAAGCCATACTGCAGTAACTATTTTGGAACTAAATTTTTGATCGTTAATTCCTTCAATTCTTAGAAGTAGGATTACTGAATATGCACTTTTTTAGATAAGTTTGTATTATTCAATTAAGCGTATAGATGTGGGAATTGGAATTTCTATCCCAGGCTTACTTATACAAAAATGATTAGTTTCTTAGAGGGGAAAAGAAAACTGTAGCCAACAGTCCTCATTCAATATTAGATTAAAGCATGTAATCAGCTAAAACATACTGCCTTTGTTGATAACAGTGACTGGTATGTGCCAAGCATTGTGCTTCCATTGTTATCCATACTACATTGATTCTCTGAGTTTGGTAAAAATACTAGCTTTTTTTTTTTTTTTTCCCTTTAGAAGCCTAAAGCAAATTTAAGTATTTTGCCAAGAACTTGTAAGCAAAGAAATGGATTCAATTTCAGGTCTCTTTGACCCCAGAACCCCAGTGTCCTCCAACTGTCCATTGGCCCAAGGATTGTATATCCATATTAACCTAATGAGGAATAACAATCAAAGGAACAAATTACCTGGCTGAGAAGCATCTTTGCTCTTATACCAGTAAATCCATCTATTTTTGGCTAGTTTCTAAGAAATACTGTTTTAAAATGCTTTTATTGTAAGAGCATGTAAAAATCTTATTTCATTTAAAAAATTCACAAAATTGTACACCAACACAAAATATGTTAATACAAGCATATGGAGGAAAGCAGTCTGGATGACTATAAACTGCAAATAATGCATATTTCCTTTGGTTAGAATTGAGGAGGATATCCTTTTAATACATAGTCGGTAATGTTTTGAATTTTTATGAACCTATTTTACCATAAGAAAAATGGACTTTTTAAGATGAAATGAGATTTTCGTTAGATGTAGTTCATATAAATTCTATATGATCAGACTTAGTATTTAGTTTTCTGTCTTTATTTTTCCCTATTTCTTTTTCAGTGTATGAATCTGAAAATACAGGAATATATTATTTATATATTACATTGAGATGTCCTCTTCAATGCACACATGTAGAAATCATTTACTTTGGTGTATTAAAAATAAACATTTTTATACATTTTTATAGATAGGAAATGTCAAACTCCAAAGGTTAATGGTAGATAGTTGGGTAGGAGCGCTTTTTATGATGATAGCAGTTGGGGGGAGGGGTAAGGGGAGGGATGGCTTTTACATTTTATTTAAATACTCTAGTACCATATGAATTGGCTTTGTATGTTTTACTATGGTTTAGGTTAACTTTGATTAAAAGTATTTTAAATGCAAATGAGAAAGTCAGTCTTCTTCACCTCTTCCCAACCAGCTAGTTCAGTTCAGTGTGTATGTTTCTAGGTTTATTGCAAATGTATGAATATGCATATACAACTGCAATGTTTTTCTATTTGTTTTTTGTTTTTGAGAGTCAGAGAGAGACAGTGCGAGCAGGGGAGGGTCAGAGAGAGAGGGAGAGACAGAATCT